CCTCTTTACTTCCTCATAGCCATATTAAGTCAGACATTGCTCAGACTTATTTTATGGTGCACAACACCAAAAGAGAAGAAAATCATTTCAGTGGCTCATGAACAGATGAGCATAGTTAGCATGATAATTAGTATATATTTTTTTCTTCTCTTATACCTAGTCCATTGTCTCCGAATGAATGAGTCATTGTGTTCTGTAAAATATAATGTTGCCAAATGAGAGGTGATGGATGCAGACATTCAGTCAGTGGACATTAACCGAGGTGATGTCTGATAATATGAAACGGCTCCCTTTGGAGCACTCCACCATTTGGAGAAATTATAATGATAATGAGCATCTGGAACTCGGGAGAGACAGACACATAACAGCAAATTCATCAGACTGCCAGGGGCTCGCTGTAAGTCAGATTACGACAGTGGAATCCAGCGGATGGCTCTGAAATATCTAAAGCTGTCTCGGAGCAGCGACAGTGCTTTTCCCACTGGTGCTCATCAAGGGATAGAAGAGCGGTTTGCAGAGATGGCAAAGGGACATCCAATTGTGTGAGCGCAAATACACACAAACACGATCAAGCATGCATGCACGCGCTCACAAGCGTACGTACGCACAAACACAATGCACACAGTCACAATATAGGTCTTTGCTGTTTACTCATTCTGTGTTCACTCTTTGCACTATTTATCATCAAACTATAATTTATAAAGAATATTATCTCAAAACTTGCGCTATACCGGTTGCATATCTAGTATAAGGTTCGGAGGGTGCATGTCATCTTACTTTTTAGTTTCTTTCTTAAATAGAGTAAGGTCCATGAATATTTGCACAGCTACACACAATTTTTATTGTTGTAGTTTTGTGTGTCACCACGATGGATTTGAAAAGATACAATCAAGATCTGCTTGAAGTGAAGAGTTTTGAGTTCAGTTTCAGAGTTTTTTCAAAAATTATGACTGAACCATGTACGAATTACACCCGTTTTATGCACAGCCCCCTAAGTTTTAGGGGCTCAAAAGTAATTAGACAAACTAACATAATCAATAATTAAATTGAATCATTGAGTTTCCAAAGGGCCCAACTCCAATGAATTTGAGGTCTGCATATCTTATAATAGAAAGGGGAACTTCTTGTAATTTCAGCCAAAAGTATCCCAATGACACTCTCTTGTAAAGAAATAAACTAAAAATATATGGGGCATAACATATGGGCAAAAAATAAATCAATTTTTCCCTTTCTTGAAAAAGAGTGTGTCTTGGAGTTGGGCCCTTTGGAAACTCAAGAATTCAGTTATCATTTTTAGTACTCTGGCAAACCCTTTGCAGTCAATGACTGTCTGAAGTCTGGAACCCATAGGCATCACCAGGCAATGGGTTTCTTCCCTGATGATGCTCAGCTTGGCCTTCGCTGCAGCGGTCTTCAGTTCCTGCCCTGTTGTTGAGGTATTTTGCCTTCAGCAGGTGAAATGCATGCTCCATGGGATTCAGGTCACATGATTGACTTGTTTATGGTAAAACATTCCATGTCTTTGTTTTTAAAATATTTGTTTGTTTTTGTAGTACGCCCCCAAGTCACCATCCATCTGCACTGTAAAGCATTTTGGCATTTTGCAGTTAGTTCTGACACGTTTAGCCGAATCTAAACATATAATTTAGTCCTATAGTATACAATTCAGAATTCATCCTCCAGCTTTTGTCAATAGTCTTGTCACCAATAGATAGAGGGGAACCAGTTCAATTAGCAGCCATAGATGCCCACACATAAAACTTCACAGATAACTTATGCCTCAAATCATGAGCAGTTCCTTCCTTTCTCCATATCCTCATTTTCCTATATTTCTGGTATATGTTGATCTTTGTCTCATTTGTCTGTAAGATGTCGTTCCAGAACTATACAGGCACTTTTAGATTTTTTGGCAAGTTTCCTGTTTTTCAGCTTTACCAATAGTTTACAGGTTAAAATCAGCCCTCTGTATTTACTCTGGTGTAGTCTTCTTTTGATTGATGACTTTGGCACTGATACGCCTTCCTTCAAGAGAATATTCTTGATCTAGCCGACTGTTTTGAAGGTTTTCATCTTTTAAACTAGGGAAATAATTCTTCTGTTATCCACCATATTTGTTATTTGTGGTCTTCCTGGCCTTTTCTTTCATAATTCCCAACTGTCTTCTTCCTTCTTTTTTCTTCCCTTCAAAACATTGGCAGAACAGTAGCATTACCATACCAGTCTTAAAAGTTTGTGCCTGCGCTGCTTTATACTATCATATTTGCCACTACAGAACTCACTACAGAACATAACATAATTCAATGTATTCTTTGCCCTGTATGAAGTGTTTGTGTGTGTGTGTGTGTGTGTGTGTGTGTGTGTGTGTATTTGAAAATGTCTGGATTGTGTTACCCAAGGATATTCCTATTGCTGTACAAAAAATGTGTACACATACAGTCAAGTCCATAAATATTTAGACATTGACAAAGTATTGTTGTTTCAGTGGTTTAATACAACATATTAGCAATGACATTAAATAGTGGATATAAGCTTGAAGTGCAGACTTGATTTGCGTTGAGATTGGGAGAATAGAATCTTGTATTTGCTCCCCCCTATTTCACTTACACATGAGCAGATAGCAGGTTGACAGTTGATTTCAAGTAGAGCATTTGAATTAGGAGTCTGTTGCTGTTAAATCTCAATATGATGTCCAAAGCGCTGTCAATGCCAGTTAAGCAAGGCATTGTAATATTATAGAGATTGTATTAAAACTTCACCTGAGGCCAAATTAACCATTTTGCACATTATAATAAGAAAGAACACAATGATGAGCACAGGAACATCAAAAGGCTTGGAAGACCATGGATAACAACTGTGATGGATGAAATAATGTTTTCCCTTGTGAAAAACAATGCATGACACTTGGCCAGATCAAGAAAACCCTTGAGGTTGGTAAATGTGATACAAAGTAAAAAATCAAGACACCTCTTGAGAATAAATCGGGAGGAGTTTTTACACAATGATCACAATGGTCAGCCTCAAAACTGGAAGAGCAAATCATCCTGTACAGTCCTGAAACAACATGCAGAGACAAAAATCGGCATGTGCCAAAATGATGACAAGGGAAGATTTTGGTGAAGGGAAGGAACGGCTTCCCTTCACCATGATCTTCCATGATCTGCTTCCATGATCTTAAGGATACCACCTCATCTGTGAAGTATGGTGGAGGTGGCATTATAGTGTGGACATGCATGGCTGCCAGTGATTCCTTTGTATTCATTGATTAGATGATGATGAGAGAACCAGCAGTATGATTTGTGAATTGCATATGGCTATTTTATCTGCTCAGATTCAGCTAAATGCTTCAATACTCATTGTATAACCCAAAATCTTTTTTAACCCTTTAAACCCTTGCCTGTTTTTTAGACCTCCGCTTAAAAAATTGCATACCCAAATTAAAAGGGCATATCTCTATTTTGTCAACTGAAGCAGCTTTATTCAAACCTTTGGAATTTTTTACTATTTTAAATTCTACTGGATATCCCAAGGTTTCCCAAGATCCCCAATACATCCTGCTGAATTATGGGGAAATACGTATAAAATGATGCGCAAGATTTACGTTGTAGATTTTTTTTCTTATTGATGTAATGCTGCGAATATTTCACTCAAGATAAGCGTGCCGTTTTCAGGGATGCACTCCAACCAGCATATGTATTTGGCATTACCCTACAATATGTAAAAAATGTTTTTTCTAACTTTTAACCAACTTAAACTCAGAATTTCACTTAAATTTCTTTTTAAGGGGCTAAAAGGAATTTTCCAATTACTTCTTACTGTTTTTATTTACTTTGTACACATTGTCCTAAGTCTACTGGAATTGAGGTTGGCCAAGTAGTAATCGGCTGCAGGATGATTTATTTGTGTTTTTAACTGAAAAAGTGCAGTTTCATATTTTCAAAGAACAAAAAATATGGCAAAAATGTTTCAAAACGCATCTGAAGTTAATGAATCATTTTTAAACAAAGTTTTATGACAGATTTTTAACCAATGGCTGATCAAGACTATATGTTTAAATATATTTGACAGGCACACACTTAACAATGCTCCTCACATTCACTGAAACTCTCCGTCTTCTCACTTGTAAATAATTAAACTTTCCATAAGGCTGATTTAATTCTTCTTGGAAAATGATATGAAAATGTAATAACATTTACATAATTACGCATCTATTATACATTCACTACTTCTTAATGAGTCAATCAGACCTTTTTTTCTCTTACAAGACAGTATCCATTCCATGGAAACTATAACATCATCCTACATTTATTAAATTATTCATTTATTAAATTTTCAAGATTACAGCAGGGATTCTGGGATGCAAACAGATACTTAACCAAACTAAAGCCTCTTCAGTCAAGATGAGTAACCCTTTGTGTCTTTGTGACAAATGCTATCAAACAGCAGAATTTAGTTTCTTCATTGGATAAATCAGCAATCCACTCAATGTATTAGAAATATAATGATCAATCTAAAGATGTGTCCGAAATCAGTCAGAATTAAGGGTAAACAGGATGATTTGCTTTATTATTATAATTAAGCTGAATCGCTAAGCTTTAAATGTATTTCAAATTAAAGCAATTCCAAGGGGGTGCGATGACATAGTACCAAAAAATAATATTGTTTGTCAATTTTAAAACAAATATTCACAATATACTAAAGATATTTTCTAGATATTTGACAAAACATATTGTTTTCTAAAAAAATCCACCATTATCTAGGTTATGATGTAAAGCTATATAAATTCCTAATCTAAGCCATACCTGGCAACATTTTGGCTTTTAGATATGGGAATTTTTGGGATGAGGGGTGTGGCTGGATGGATAGGCAGTGTGTGTGCGTGTGTGTGTGTGTGTGTGTGTGTGCGTGTGTGTGTGTGTGTGTGTGTGTGTGTGTGTGTGTGTGTGTGTGCATGTGTGTGTGTGTGAATGAGTTCATTTATGTATTTGCAAGAGCGTCTGGTTGCACGTGTGAGTGCAGTGGTTAGCACTGCTGCCTTACAGCAAGAAGGTTGTGGGTTTGAATCTTGCCTGGGGCCTTCTTTGTGGAGTTTGTATGTGTTCGTGTGGGTTTCCTCTGGGTACTCTAGTTTCCTCCCGCAGTCCAAAGACATGCATGGCAGGCTAATTGTAGATGGTAAATTGCCCATAGGTATGAGTGTGAGAGCGAATGGTGTGTGCACCCTGCCATGGATTGGCGAGCTGTCCAGGGTGGGTCCCAGCCATTCACCCACAGTTAGCTGGGATAGGCCTCCGTGATCCTAGAGAGGAAGAAGCGGGTATAGAGAATGGATGGATGGATGTAACAGTACCAATTAATAGTACCAAAACAATAGTACCATTTTTCCGTCCCCATGAGGGAGAGGGTTATCCTGGGCCAAGGGCTAGGGTTTCAACTGGGTTATAATTGGGCTTAAGCATAGGACCATGTCAAGTTTTACGTTTTGCTACTATCATTAGGCTGTAGGTTAAGGTTAGGTGTTAAATTAAGACTTAAAGTTGGGTTATTTTTGGGGGTTGTAGGTTACAGTTAAGATTTGGGTTTAAGATTAGAATAGAGTTCAGGAAGGGGTGAAGATTAGGGTTTTAAGGTGTGGAAATAGGATTTTGGTGTTAAAATTTTTTTATTTCCCTGCGAGAGTATACAGATGCGTTAAATTTTTTTCATCCAAAAAAGACAGATCAAAATTCAACGTGGAATATATTGGTGAGGTCTGCCACTCTCTTTCTTAGTTGCAGGTAGGGTTCAGCAAGCAATGCACTTCTCAATAAATTTGTTCCAAAGTTAACTAAGCAACAGAAGTTGAAATGAGCCTCTGGGCCTAATAGTTAAGGTCAACATTGCACAATATAGTTATTCATTTCATACTGAAGTTGTGAATCATCTGTGTGCTGTTGAATAACAGCAGCCCTCTGAGTAATTGGTTGCAGTGTCCTCAAAAAGAAGGAAACTGGTTTATTCAAGAATTTCAATTCTCCAAATATATTTCTGCCTGTCCTTCTGCTGATATTTGTGTTCACTATACAGCATAAAATAATAGCACATCTCATTGACATGGATCTGTGATTTGGGTGTTATGATTCTGTCAGTTTGCCATGTCTGTACTGTTTTGCCATGTTCTGTTTAGTTTGTTCCATGCCATGTTTTGTTTCTGCCATGTTTTGCCATTACCCATATTTCTGCATATAGTCCGGTTCTTGTTTTCCACCATGCCCTTCTTTGCACTTTGTCTCCCCTGTCTGGTCTTTTGTTACTACAGCTCATTCCCCAGTCCTCCGTGTCACATGCTTAGGTGATTTAATGGTTTCTGGGTTTCCACCATTCCTTCTAGTCTCGTTTGCTTCCTTCACCTTACTTTTGCTATTTTACTAACCCATACTAACAGTTTATTATTTTGTTAAGATACTAACCAAGACTAACATTGTGTATATAATACTAACTTACTAACGAGCACCAGGGATTGTATAGCTGCACTTACTAATTGATTAACAAGCTCTCAGCACTCGCCCTATTCTAGTCTCCGCCTCTTGCCTTCACTTAGTCTTTGCTGCAATTCAGTGGATCCTCCGCACCTGCTCCACTCTGTCCTGCCTCTCATTATCTGTGCACATTAGAACTCCCTAACCGGAGCTGTATGTTTTGTCATAGGATTGTCTCGTGATCCCTGTCCGCGTTTTGGCAGTTGCCTATTTCATGTGATTAGGTTCTCCCTCATGTTCCCTCCTTTGTAATCAGTCTGACTTCTTGCACTTCTGTCTTGTTAAGCATGTGACTTCCCATGAATGTATATTAGGAGTCTTCTCACAGCAGTTCTTTGTCAGAACGTTCTCCTTTGTCTGCTTGTGCCACGCTTCTCTCGCCTTGTTTTCATCGTGATTACCTTTCTGACTGGACCGTCCTTGTTTTTCGATTTTTGCCTATTCCCTGTACTTTGCCACATTCTCAGTGTGTCAAACCTTTTTGTCTGACTACGATTTTTGTCATTGGTGCCCTGTTTACGGTTCTGGATTTCGCCCTTTGGATTCTGATTTTTGGATTGTGGACATTGTACCATTGCCTGCTCTGTTGGGGGTTTCCCCCCTTCAGAAATAAAGCCTCCATTTTTGCATTCACTGGTTCTCGCTTCTGGTTCCTGGCGTAATCCTCACATTGGGTTCTACAATCAGCCTGTTAGTGTAATACTGTATGATATGCAAACATCCATAACTTATCATTTCAAACTGGTAAATTCCCACACAATATGAAAATATCTGAAGTCAATCTGCTCTACAAAACTGAGAACGAACACCACTTCACAAGCAGCAGACTTGTCTCTTCACTCCCACAATTCTCCAACATAGTAGAAAAACTCTTCAATAACAGGACAAATTCATGGACAAACACAAATTACAAATACGGTTTCAGATCAAACTGATCAACATGATGAGCATGAGCTGAGTCAATCAAAGAAATTACAAAGTATGCAGTTGGGATATTTCTTGATCTTAAAAAAAAAAAAGCTTTTGATACAATCAATCATGACATCTTTATCAATAAACTTTAACGTCATGGCATTAGGGGTATATTATTAGAGTAAAGTGCTATTTAAACAAGTTTTGCCGGGTAAAACAAACATCACCTGCCAGCACTTATTTTTGAGCTTTTCACACTGACTCCATTTTACAAGCTTGACCTCAACCATTTTGAACTTATAGTCCTTTGAAAACCCATGACCTTCAGTTTGACCTTTCAAGGTGACTCAAGGTCAAAGGTCATGGAGTCAAATAAAAGCCCATATAGGAGTTCCTATATGATTACAAAAGTAAGCATCTGTTTATTTGCAACCAGTTTTGAGATATAATGGAAAATATATTATTTTCACCAATGACCTTGACCCCACTGGCATTTAATCCCCAACCACTACGGAGACGATCAAGGCTACCCCATCATGCAGCATACGGTTGGAAGCTGAATTGAAAGATGCACATTTTGCTTTTAGTTTGAAGTCAATGTGATGAAATTGAAGGAAGTTATCGCAAAAAACAATTTGACATTTCCAATTGCCCACCTACTGTAAAGTTTAGTCAATCAATGCAATCGTGTAAACACTAGATTGTTAACACTTGGACAAACAAACAAACAAACTGCGCCAATTACAATACTTGGCACCGCCAACTCTTTTACACTGTTAAAAAAAAAAAAGTCTCAACTGAAAAAAGTTATTGTCCATGCTGCCTTAAAATTTTAAGCTCATTGTAACTTGAGATGATAAGTTGAGGTAATATTCAACTTATAATCTTAAATTTAGTTAACTTGAAATTTTAAGGCAGCCTGTACACTAACTTTTTTCAGTTGAGACAACTTTTTTTTTTACAGTGTACGTATTACATGAAATAAATATTTGAATAGTACTTTGTTTCTGATTTATTGTCATTTTATTAAGAGTATAATCATCACTGCACTCTACTGTATGTATACTGTATGTATGTAGATGAGTATGTTAGTATCTATAATAGAAAAGCGAAGTGGACTCTGTGTGCGTGTATGCGTGCGTGTCCGGCCAATCAGTGGAAAACCATGTGGAGCTGATGTTTGCCATTTAGCATAATTATGTATTTTGGGTGAAGGAAGACCCTTGCGAAAATGGCAAGTTGATAGGACCAATACTTTTTGAGAAATAAGTGGTTTTTGATAAAATTGACTCAGAATCACGTTGCTACCTCAATGATAGAGTGAACAATGGCCTGGAAATGACTCAGTCACGTGTCCAAAGTGAACAATGCACCATTATGATGTCATCACATTGCTATAGTGTTTCCATAAAAACATCATATTACCAAGCCAATTCATCTACAACAGTCATGAATCCCAAAAAATATGTACAGTATAATCAGTGAAAACTACGGAGAAACATTGCAATTAATATTAAACTGTCTAACAAACAGTCTACCAAAAAGAAATGAAGTCCAGACCATGATGTCTACCAAACAGAAATGATACTGATCAACTTTGAAGGTAAGCGCGTTGCTCCCAAACATAGACACGACCACTTCTAGAACCCGTGGATCCCCACGGGCAACATGCTAGTCTATGTATATGTATGTATTTTTATGTGTACTGTTTGCACGTGTGTGTGTGTATATATATATATATATGTGTGTATATATAGTATTTGTGTTTTTTCATGATACTGGGTTACAAAAGCCTGACCGTTAAACAGGCAAGAAAACGCCGATTCATATTGAATTTTGAAAGTTGTCATCACTGCTTACGGGTAATATCAACTGTCCAATTAATTAATCCGATATTTTAGAAGACAACGTTATTCTGAAGCATGACTTTCATCACGGTGGATTACATTGGACACAAAATAGGTATGAATCCATCACGAAAATAGCCGTCAGTAATGTCTTACCTTGTGAGAGTATGGCCAATTGCTGAACGATGATCAAGAATAAGATGGATTCAGAAGATTTTTTGATAATTCCCTTTTCATTTACCAGTCATTGCGGCATACAAAACTGTGGACAAGAAAGGTATGGTTGTGGACATCAGCTGCCTCACAGCAACACACTGGAAACTTTAGTTGTCAATAAAATGTGTTTTCAGAGTCATTCCATAGAGCATGAAAAATCAATAAATTGATGCGCATAATCATAGAATACAAATCAAAATTTGTCTTAGGTAACGGTCGTGATTTACTGGATACAAATTGATTTTTAGTATTTGAGTTTATATTTTTCAAAATCGATGGAAATTAGCAGTCAAGAAGTTGGTTTATCGGCATACGGAAAGTCAGTTCTTCTGTGGAGAAGCAGTACAATCGAGCAGTGCCACTCACTTAAGACCTACCTGCCGTTAGCACAGCGGACACCTGATAATTTCAGTCTGATATTGTCCTATATTCTGACAAGAAAAGTTTTGTAACAAAGTGGAATTTATTCACTGAAATGTGAGTAAATAACTTATGGGCTAATGCACATGATACTTGGCAATTTTAATTTCTCACATCCTTTCTGATAAAAACTTATTTTTGATGTCATATTTTGGTGTCCTTAT